GTTCGAAAATCAAAACTTTTTTGCTGATTTTTTTTGAATAGCTCGGCTAAATAACGTCTGATTTTGAAATATTATACCGCTTTGAATTCGTACGGACCCCTACTATCAATTGGCATTCAAAGAAATTAAAAATCGATAGGTAAAACAAAGTTGTGGACCCAAAATCGATTCATTTGTAAAGTCAACCTTTCCTGATGATTTTTTGGAATATCTCGGCCAAATAATGTCAGATTTGGGAATTGTATACCATTTTGGACTCGTAAGGATCAGTAGTATCGATTGGCATCAAAATAATAATAAACTAAATTTTGACCCAAATCGGCCAAAATAGCAAGGGGTTACATCACGTTTTTTATCAAAATCTGGGTCGGTTCGAAAATCAAAACTTTTTTGCTGATTTTTTTTGAATAGCTCGGCTAAATAACGTCTGATTTTGAAATATTATACCGTTTTGAATTCGTACGGATCCCTACTATCAATTGGCATTCAAAGAAATTAAAAATCGATAGGTAAAACAAAGTTGTGGACCCAAAATCGATTCATTTGTAAAGTCAACCTTTCTTGATGATTTTTTTGAATATCTCGGCCAAATAATGTCAGATTTTGGAATAGTATACCATTTTGGACTCGTAAGGATCAGTACTATCGATTGGCATCAAAATAATAATAAACTAAATTTTGACCCAAATCGGCCAAAATAGCAAGGGGTTGCATCACGTTTTTTATCAAAATCTGGGTCGGTTCGAAAATCAAAACTTTTTTGCTGATTTTTTTTGAATAGCTCGGCTAAATAACGTCTGATTTTGAAATATTATACCGTTTTGAATTCGTACGGATCCCTACTATCAATTGGCATTCAAAGAAATTAAAAATCGATAGGTTAAACAAAGTTGTGGACCCAAAATCGATTCATTTGTAAAGTCAACCTTTCTTGATGATTTTTTGGAATATCTCGGCCAAATAATGTCAGATTTTGGAATTGTATACCATTTTGGACTCGTAAGGATCAGTACTATCGATTGGCATCAAAAAATTAATAATAAACTAAATTTTGACCCAAATCGGCCAAAATAGCAAGGGGTTACATCACGTTTTTTATCAAAATCTGGGTCGGTTCGAAAATCAAAACTTTTTTGATGATTTTTTTTGAATAACTCGGCTAAATAACGTCCGATTTAAACTAAATTTTGACCCAAATCGGCCAAAATAGCAAGGGGTTACATCACGTTTTTTATCAAAATCTGGGTCGGTTCGAAAATCAAAACTTTTTTGCTGATTTTTTTTGAATAGCTCGGCTAAATAACGTCTGATTTTGAAATATTATACCGCTTTGAATTCGTACGGACCCCTACTATCAATTGGCATTCAAAGAAATTAAAAATCGATAGGTAAAACAAAGTTGTGGACCCAAAATCGATTCATTTGTAAAGTCAACCTTTCCTGATGATTTTTTGGAATATCTCGGCCAAATAATGTCAGATTTGGGAATTGTATACCATTTTGGACTCGTAAGGATCAGTAGTATCGATTGGCATCAAAATAATAATAAACTAAATTTTGACCCAAATCGGCCAAAATAGCAAGGGGTTACATCACGTTTTTTATCAAAATCTGGGTCGGTTCGAAAATCAAAACTTTTTTGCTGATTTTTTTTGAATAGCTCGGCTAAATAACGTCTGATTTTGAAATATTATACCGTTTTGAATTCGTACGGATCCCTACTATCAATTGGCATTCAAAGAAATTAAAAATCGATAGGTAAAACAAAGTTGTGGACCCAAAATCGATTCATTTGTAAAGTCAACCTTTCTTGATGATTTTTTTGAATATCTCGGCCAAATAATGTCAGATTTTGGAATGGTATACCATTTTGGACTCGTAAGGATCAGTACTATCGATTGGCATCAAAATAATAATAAACTAAATTTTGACCCAAATCGGCCAAAATAGCAAGGGGTTCACGTTTTTTATCAAAATCTGGGTCGGTTCGAAAATCAAAACTTTTTTGCTGATTTTTTTTGAATAGCTCGGCTAAATAACGTCTGATTTTGAAATATTATACCGTTTTGAATTCGTACGGATCCCTACTATCAATTGGCATTCAAAGAAATTAAAAATCGATAGGTTAAAAAAAGTTGTGGACCCAAAATCGATTCATTTGTAAAGTCAACCTTTCTTGATGATTTTTTGGAATATCTCGGCCAAATAATGTCAGATTTTGGAATTGTTGAATAATAACTTGAAATATTATACCGTTTTGAATTCGTACGGATCCCTACTATCAATTGGCATTCAAAGAAATTAAAAATCGATAGGTTAAACAAAGTTGTGGACCCAAAATCGATTCATTTGTAAAGTCAACCTTTCTTGATGATTTTTTGGAATATCTCGGCCAAATAATGTCAGATTTTGGAATTGTATACCATTTTGGACTCGTAAGGATCAGTACTATCGATTGGCATCAAAATAATAATAAACTAAATTTTGACCCAAATCGGCCAAAATAGCAAGGGGTTACATCACGTTTTTTATCAAAATCTGGGTCGGTTCGAAAATCAAAACTTTTTTGCTGATTTTTTTTGAATAGCTCGGCTAAATAACGTCTGATTTTGAAATATTATACCGTTTTGAATTCGTACGGATCCCTACTATCAATTGGCATTCAAAGAAATTAAAAATCGATAGGTTAAACAAAGTTGTGGACCCAAAATCGATTCATTTGTAAAGTCAACCTTTCTTGATGATTTTTTGGAATATCTCGGCCAAATAATGTCAGATTTTGGAATTGTATACCATTTTGGACTCGTAAGGATCAGTACTATCGATTGGCATCAAAATAATAATAAACTAAATTTTGACCCAAATCGGCCAAAATAGCAAGGGGTTACATCACGTTTTTTATCAAAATCTGGGTCGGTTCGAAAATCAAAACTTTTTTGCTGATTTTTTTTGAATAGCTCGGCTAAATAACGTCTGATTTTGAAATATTATACCGTTTTGAATTCGTACGGATCCCTACTATCAATTGGCATTCAAAGAAATTAAAAATCGATAGGTTAAACAAAGTTGTGGACCCAAAATCGATTCATTTGTAAAGTCAACCTTTCTTGATGATTTTTTGGAATATCTCGGCCAAATAATGTCAGATTTTGGAATTGTATACCATTTTGGACTCGTAAGGATCAGTACTACCGATTGGCATCAAAATAATAATAAACTAAATTTTGACCCAAATCGGCCAAAATAGCAAGGGGTTACATCACGTTTTTTATCAAAATCTGGGTCGGTTCGAAAATCAAAACTTTTTTGCTGATTTTTTTTGATTAGCTCGGCTAAATAACGTCTGATTTTGAAATATTATACCGTTTTGAATTCGTACGGATCCCTACTATCAATTGGCATTCAAAGAAATTAAAAATCGATAGTTTAAACAAAGTTGTGGACCCAAAGTCGATTCGTTTGTAAAGTACACCTTTTTGATGATTTTTTTAAGTATCTCGGCCAAATAATGTCCGATTAATTAACGTTTTGTCTAGTTTTTGAGCGACGACTTTTTTAATATATTCAATATTATTTATTTCAGGTAAATACCGTCACAACTTCTCAAAAAGGAGGACAGAAGGAAAAAAGCTGGAAAGGACCAGACAAGCTTTATCTTTAGCAACGCCGGATAATACCCGCTAAGTGTAGATACATAAAATAAAAACTAAATATTTAAATGCTGTAAAATATATATATTTTTTAAATAACTATATAAATAATAATTAAGCAATGAAAATACGATGTTATGAAACAAAATAAATATATTGAAAAATAAATCAATTCTGATGTTTTTTTTTTATTTGTGAGGAATTTTTCGGGCAGTTCAGGTAAGTAATTCGAAAGAGTCGACATAGATTCTCCGTTGATCTGCGCGAGATTATGTCGTTAGAAAACAACTCTCGGGTAAAAAAGTCTGATTTTCGCTTTTAGAGCGGAGGAGATATGTCTTTTCAAAACCACATAATCTCGACATGATGATCGACGGCGGAGTTATGTCGTTTTCAAACGTCATATCTCCGCGGGAATTATGTCGTTTTCAAACGTCATATCTCCGCGGGAATTATGTCGTTTTCACACGTCATATCTCCGCGGGAATTATGTCGTTTTCACACGTCATATCTCCGCGGGAATTATGTCGTTTTCAAACGTCATATCTCCGCGCGGAGCTATGTCGTTTTCAAACGTCATATCTCCGCGCGGAGCTATGTCGTTTTCAAACGTCATATCTCCGCGCGATCCCTACTATCAATTGGTGATTTTTTTTTTGATTTTTTTTTTTGAATAACTCGGCTAAATAACGTCCGATTTTGAAATATTATACCGTTTTGAATTCGTACGGATCCCTACTATCAAAGTTGTGGACCCAAAACCGATTCATTTGTAGTCAACCTTTCTTGATGATTTTTTGGAATATCTCGGCCAAATAATGTCAGATTTTGGAATTGAATACCATTTTGGACTCGTAAGGATCAGTACTATCGATTGGCATCAAAATAATAACCTAAATTTTGACCCAAATCGGCCAAAATAGCAAGGAGCTATGTCGTTTTCAAACGTCATAAAGCACAGCCCAGGATAATTCCAAGGCGAGCACAAGACCCTTCTTACAGTACCTTATTAAGAATTGCCCTTTTAAAATGAAATGCAATACGTTGATTCCAAAATATATTTTAAACGAAGGCCAAAAGGTTATAACTAAAAATTTTGAATTTAATAATTGTTAAAATTCAATGAAGTGTTCCGATTCGTTTCCTGTTCAGGTCGCATTCGCAGAATTTGTGCCAACTCCATTTAAAGCGCTTCGCTTGGAAGCATAGAAGCCTGGCTTAAGTATATGCCATTTGAAATGGCATTGCAATGATTCGAAGCGCCACAATTGCCTGTAGAAATTCAGAAACTTCTGTGAATAGTTTACTCCTGTTCAAGCAGTTGATCTTCGTGCCATAATTTTCTCTTTCTTGATTCAACTTAGCTTCCAAATTTGTTCCATCCAAAGTGCTCACAGTAACAACCATTCACTGACTATACCCGACCCCATCCCGTTTTCTTTAACGTCCACCGCTTTCTTCACGAGCTGGTCCATCAAAATCCACCTGGAGAAGCCAACAAATAAGCATACCATGAATATATCATATGTACAACAGCTACTTACAGAATTTGTACTTGGTTTTGACATTAGGATTAGGATTGGGCAGCTGGTTATTTGGCGTATACCATGAGGGCTATTTTTCCTATAGCATGAGTACCTGTCGGCGCAATATGCGAGACTCGCTAGCAACAACATTTCGGTGGCGTATTGTAGCAGTGAGCCTTGCATGGTCCGCACCAAACACAGGGTGCATTGTCCGTCCTTTTCAAGTAGCGAGTGGGACAACAGTAGCAGCCTTCAAGGGAATCAACAATTAGAGTCTAGCTTCAAGATTTTATATGACCCATGCTGTGGCACGCGCAGTCTCGGGCTGCTAAACGAAGAAGGGAACGGACGAGCGCGAGCTTTAATGGATAGATTGGTGATGTATTACAACAATTCCAGACCCGTGGGGGAGGGAGCTCCGCAAAGCGGACTGTGCGTGCCACAGCAAGGCCAATGATTACAAGGACCACAACCTCCGCAGGGACCACAGCCTCCGCATGGACCACAACCGCCTCCGCACATCTTTGAAAAGTTTGGCTTAGATAGAGTTTAAGGAAAAAATAATTTTAAAACAAATTTAGAAGCTAGTCGAAGCGAAAGGATCGAAAAACAGAGAACTAATGATTATTTCTCGGAAGCCTCAAAGCTGCGTTCCAAAAAGTTGAACGTCGACATGAGTTAGAATTCTTGGCACACTTAAACATTTTTAATGCCCAAATAACTAAAAAAGTAATTATTAAATTAAATATCGAATTAATAATTTAATTTAAAGTAATCATTTTTCGAAAGCCAGGGTCGAAGAAGTATGAACTTGTTTCTAAAGTTCATTTTGCTTATCAATTGATTAATATGCGTGCGAATATAAAGCTGATTAGAGTCCATCCGATGCACACCCCTACTCAGTATAGTTTGGCGGTTCATCGCGGACGGAATCATGATGAAAGTAGCTGTTATCGGGGCGGGTGTGAACGGTGTGGCGAGTGCACTCAAAATCTTGGAGTATTATCAGGAGGAAAATAAACTGAATGTGCAGGTTAGCATAATATCGGAAGAATTTACGCCCAATACGACGGGCGATGGCTCGGCAGGACTTTGGGGGCCCTTCCTGTTGAGTGGCACAGAGAAGTCCAAGATCTAGTAGGTGTTACAACAGAAGTTCACCTTTGAATCCATTAAAGATCTAGTTGTTCCAACAGCCAATGGTCCAAGAGCATGCACAACTTTCTGGAGAAGATATGGCTAAGTGAGGATGCGGGCGAAGCGGGTGTTTGCCTGCTGCCCTGCGTCCGTCTGAGCACGGATCCCAACGTCAGCGTCGAGGATTTCTGGCGCGACATTGTCTACGGCGCAGTGGATCTGTCGCCCGATCAACTAGCTGTTTATAATAAGAACAGAGACGTCAAATTTACGTAAGTAAACGCTTAAACCCTCTGCTTTCGCATACTTAACACTAAATACTCTTACAGTTCGGGCCTCTCCTTTGTTACGTACACCTCGGAGCCGCTCAAGCTGCTGCCCTACCTGACGAAACGCTTTGTGCGCAAGGGTGGACGAGTTGAGCAGCAGAAGGTCACAGATCTGGAGAGTTTTGTCAGAGATTCGCCATACGACGTGATTGTCAACTGCACAGGCCTCGGCTCCAGGCAGCTGCTGAACGATGACAATATGTACGCCGTGCGTGGTCAAGTGAGCCGCATCAAGGCCAACTGGGTGTTCGCCGCCATCCTGGACGAAAGCGACGATGGCAACTACATCATACCCAAGTGAGTCCGTAGTCCAAATGTACCCCAGCTATGCGACTCTACTATGCTTTACCCAACAGCACTGAGTCCGTGGTGCTTGGCGGTACTCACCAGGAAAAGGACTACAACACCAAGGTCTCCGATGTGGATAAGCGATTCATTATCGACGGTTGTCGCCGCCTGATGCCAGGCTTAGTCCACACGCAGCACCTGTTCGACTGGGTTGGCCTGCGTCCGGGTCGAGTCCAGGTGCGCCTCGAATCGGAGAGGCGTGGCCGGAAGCTGCTCATACACAACTACGGACATGGTGGCAGCGGCGTCACCTTGTGCGAGGGCTGTGCCGAAGATGTCCTCAGCCTGTTGCTGGCTGCCAAACTGAACTCCAAGTTGTAGCGATCCCAGCTGCAGATAGGTTAGTGTATTATCAGCAGAAATCAAGTGCCTGTTGCTAATACTATTTGCCTGAGCATGCATTACACACACACAAATCTTTCCATATATAAACAATAAACAATGCTTATCATGTTTGCCTTATCGCAGCTGCGTTTGACGCTGCTTTCATGCCAATCGAACTGGTTCCTAGACGAACTAAGCGCGAAAGAAATGCAGCCCTTAAATTTGAATTTAAAATTAATAATTACAATAATTATATTGCAAACACGTTCTGCACATTGCCCAGAATAAAATATCAGGCTAAACTTATCTAAAAATATTTACATCTCATTTTGAAGATTTATATTTCAGTTTGGGAAAGTTTCCTTCAAGAGATCTAAACAAGAAAGCTTTTGAAAAACTTCCAAATTATGTTTCCTTTATAATAGAATGGAAGATCATGTCTGTCAGGCTTAATGCATATGAATCTGAAGAATTTCCAATATTATGGATTTCGTAAAGCTCTAAAAAGATCATGCGAGAGGCAATTCGGGATAGCATTCTTTCATTTGTTTTACAGCTTATCTTTTAAACAAATTGAATACTCCAAGAAACGAAGATTGTTTTATGATTTCATCTATTCACAAATGGTATATCTATTTGTTTCAGAATTCATTTAGTCGCATCTGCTCCTCCTCTTTCTCCTTTAGCTCTTTTGCCTTTAGAGCTGCGTGGAAGGCCTCAAATCCGGGCCATTCCATATAATGCACTATCGGATCCAGAGGCAGCACATAGAGCAGGGCGTACATTTCATCCAGGTCGCGCAGACAATCGAATGGCCGCTTATTGCCCTCAGCCTTATAAATGGAGTAGATCGATCTGCCTAATTCTGAATACTCGGCCAATTCAGCTTCATACTGGTCCTTGGAGGTCAGTGCAATGAAGCAGACGCGAGGCATGTGCATGTGCTGGGCGACCATGCCGAAGACGTCGAACATGCATATCGCAAAATCCTGGTCTCCATACAAATTATTTGGAAAGCCAATTTCGTGCACCATTAGGCAATCTAAGTTATCCATATTTAGGCTCTTCTTGGTGTCGGCCATAAGCTGTTCCTTCAAGTCAATCAGCTTCTGGAAGTGGCCTTTCGCAACAAATGAGGGCAGAAAAACCCTACAAAGGGATTCGATTAGTTTGTCTAGTAATTGGGCTAATATTTATTTCTTTCTAATTGTTTTTTTTTTTACCAGGAATGCCAAGCCTCCGTCATCCACTCAAGTAGGGCCACGGCTTCAATCCGGGTTTCACTCTCGTTCATCATCATCACGGAGCACTCGTTGCGTAAGATATGCCTACAATAATCCGTATATATACCCTTCATTTCCGCCAACTCGTGCAGACCCAGTCCCTCATATACGATGCTCTGCAGAAATGAATTCTCCCACATAAATTCAATAACGATGCCGTAATGCCTGTATACAATTGGGTTAGGACTCTGTCTTGGATAGTGTATAAGCACTGAAGACTACTTGCTTGAAGTTAATGTCTGTTATGGGCTTGCCCTCCCATTCATCCCATTTGATATCGTATTGCAATGGGCGTACATCATCCATGCTTCTCAACTTTAAATCACTTTTAATTTAGCGTATACACAAAATTTCGTTTAAATACAAAACTATTTACACATATGGGTGTACAATAATTGACAGGTGTAAGCAAAAATATTCAGTTTCTAACGAAAAACAATGTTTGAGTATACCCTGTAATTAAATCGAAAAACATATTTATTCATTATCCGTAGTAACTAGACCACCATATAACTGCCACGCCCATATCAAATCAGCAAAATATAATATAAATAATATAAAAAATGAGTCGTTTTCTCTTAAGATTTTACTACCACTGAGATCGATAGAAGATCAACATGAAAGGTCGGACATGAATACAGTGCAGGTGATGTTGATGAGATATATGAGAAAAGTCTCCCAATTCAAGAAAACCCTAAATATACACAAGGCGGGTAAGTCCTATTTAAAATATACAGAAGCTGCCTTTAATTTTAGCTTAAAACTTTTCTATGAATTTGACTTAAATATAAAACGAATTAGTAGCGCAATGAAGGCAATTATTCAACGGGATGCAAATATAAATGCGAAAAATGGTATTTAATTATCGCTGTAGACCTTAATCCAGACAACTTTCTGACAGCGGTGGGCAACTTTTGCCGTTCAACATTTTGAATAAATTTGCATTTCACTTGAGCTGGTGAGTTGGCTGCCAGCAAGCGCGAGCAGCAGCAGCAATAAAAATAAAAGAAAACAACAATAATAAAAGGCAATTGAAAACTTTTGCATAAGTCGCAACAAGCTAACTTCATTTAACCGAAACGGAAGTTGCTTAACATTCGCTCCCCTAGCCCCCCTCTACACCCCTACCCCCTTTCAGCTCCAACCCCAGCGAAACTGAAGATCTAGGACCAACTCAAGGAGCTGTCTGCCACAGCCTTGCCGCCCATCCTGTCAGCTCCAAGTGGCTCCAAGCCACTCGAAAACCACACGAAGCACTCCCAACGATACGCCCCACGAAATTGAAGTTTAATTTGTTTTTATAAGCGCGATTAACACATGAAATGTGTATTTGGGGCACTGCAATGGGACTCATAAATGTTAGACTAGCATTAAAAATACTAACCAAAGCGGAATATTTCCGGGAATTTAGATAGGTAATTTTTTAAGAGGTAGAGCCATGAAGTATTAAGCGGGCAAAGTATTTTTGTGTAAGATTTTAAATCATTATTTTTCACGTAGAGCTTCAAAATTGAGTTTGAAGCAAATCGGAGGAAATTTAATTGTGGTCAGGAATTAATGCTATATATAAGTATAACAGTATTTAGCTAGAATCTATCTATTTTCTGCTTGGGAAACTTAAAGGTCGACAAGACGAGCGTCAACATTAGAATAGAAAAATTAAAAACTAAAAGCTTGATCAGAATAGAAATATTTCTAATATTATCACAGGCACAATATTCGTATCTAAATTTAACTTAATGGATATACAAATGTTATTTATTTAAAATGAAATAAAGAGTTTCAACCAGTCTCAAATTTAAGACTGTCGTTGAATTGGTAAGACCAAATACCAATACACCATGCTTACCGTCTATTTATTAAAAAACTCAAAGTTTGAGCATAATTTGGTTCGATTTCCACACAGCCCTGGCATAAAAGCTGTATTTTCGCCTAGATAAACCCTGCATTATATACAAATGCATAGCCCACCCTTTTTGTATTCAAGTAGCTGAAAAGCACTTTAATTCGCGGATTATTCGGCATTTAGAAGTAAATAAACAAACAATGCGGTATCTTGTGCTGCAAAGGATAACAAGGGCGGCAAATGGCGGAAGAGCGCGATGTATGGAGATGGAACTTTGGTAAATCGAGATCCTTTGGCGTTTCGCTCAAACATTTCAATAACGCGCTTGTTTTGAATTACTTTGTTCGGCTGCTATTGTTGAACCCTTTGTTTATTTGTTTGGTACGCGACACACAGAGAGAGAGAGAGAGAGAGAGAGAGAGGGAGAGGGGGAGAGAGAGGGAGAGAGAGACAGGCAGCTGCATACACCTTGCGGCTGGCGGCAAGTGCAGCCATTTCCACGTCCACAGACGCATCCCAATTCGGGTCCAGCCAGACAGGCTGCATATGGCACAGCCATTTACAATCAAGAAACGTTTCCTTTTTGCATTTCATTGCGCGTTTTCGATTTTAAATAAAACCACGACAAGCGACGCGGCTGCAAGTCATGGGCGGCAAACAGGGGACGGGTGGGGAGGAGGGGCGTGGTTTGGGGGTAGTTATGCCAGCTTTTGGCTGGCATTGGGAATGCGCAGGTGTCACTGAAAAACAGCCAACGACCGTTAAACGATTTTCGAATGAATTCAAAAATTTGCGATTGTTTTAAGCACAAGTGTGGGCTGGTTCGGGTTGGGTTAGCCCCGGATTTGTGACGATGCCTGTGGCCACATGACGGGGGCAGGTGGAATGTGGCGCGTGTAAAGAATTTGGCGGATTAAATGTTTCCCAAATGAGACGTTTTTATGCCACATCATAAACTGTGACTCACGAGTTTCTAATCCGTTACATCATATAATTCGCAAAACTCCATTAAATTTGCTTATGAAATTTGAAAATTTAACTCGGCAGAAATTACTTGATTTTTCTGAGTAGGAAAATCGGGGATTGCATTCTTTTTTAAAAAACAACTGTTTTATTAAAGATACTCTTACAATGGAAAGAAAATGGGGAAAAGTAAATAGACAAAATAAAGTAAGGAAAATAAAAGTTGAATAATTTGATTCAAATTTATATTTGGAATTTTCCTCTCATAACTTAGAAATAATTTTTCTATTAATTGATTTCATATATTTTTCAGAATTTATATAATATTATATTATATATTTTTGGGTATGCAAATCTTAAAAAGGACGCAAATTATAAAAGAATTCCATAAATAAAATCGAGAATAAAGAAATATGTTTTCAAGCCTAAATAAAATTCAAAAGCCAAATCTAAAAGCTATACGCACAGAGCTCATATTTCAAGCTTTTTTAGTGCTAATATTTAGCTAGAAAATTTGGATATTTTACAAGTTCCTGGTCAAGTTACAATCGGAATGATAGCTATAAGAAATTGTACAGCAAAAAGTTGAAATTGATTGAATTCCTTGAAAACTCTCACGTGACCAAAGGCAAATGTCAAAATTAAATTATTTCTTTACAATATTGAATTTATCAGCAGGCACGAGACAAGATACGTGTTCGGAATAGACATGCCCGCACGGCACGGCCCCCAGCCCAGAGCAGCCCCTCGGCTGGGCTGACACTTTGCCATTAAAAGTGTCGCTTGTATTTAAATATCCAATTGACGGGCTGATATGGCCTGGTCTGGGCATCAGACTCGAGCCTGAGCTAGTCAGGAGGCAGCTGTTGGAAACATTTAAGAATGCGTCGAATGGCGTTTGCTTTGACATTGCCCCAAATTCGGTTATCCCAAGTTCCAGTTGCCAATTGGTTGTGTGTATGTGTGTGTGTGTGTGTGTGTGTGTTGCCCTGTAAATGACACCCGAAGTGCTTTGAATTTTAAAATCCGTCTATGCGCCGGCGGGTGCCAGGTCTATGCGTAAGGTGTTCAAGACGTGTTTCAATTTCTGAATTTTGATGCGTAGCCGGGCGAGGGTGGTTCGCCGCCATGGATATGGTTGCAATTTATCCATTATTATTAACATACCTTTGCAGCGTATTTGTTTTTGGGTATTTATTCAAATTGAGACATTAGACAAATTAAATTTACACCTATTTCATTTGATTGTTATCGCTTGTATACCCACTTAATTATGCCATTCCGCCCAAGGATTCTCGTTTATGTGTCATTTGCATCATTTTTAATGCACATTCACGTTTGCCGTTATTGCGGCCAGCCCAGGCAATTATAGGAAAATGATACATGCCAGGCTAATAAAAGAAAATGAAACCCATGAAGATAAGCATCAACATACTGTTGAGGTCTTCTCAGCTACTGTGCGCAATTCCAGGGCCACGCACGTGACAGTCGTACGCTTCCAAGGAAAACTCAGTTAAGTATTAAGGTAAGAAGCTTTTGAATGCATAATTCCAGGATAAAAGCAAAAAAAGAGTCTCCTGATATCAGATATATAGAAAGACATCTAATCTTCTTCTCATCAAGGCTGCAAATCAAGCTATTGATTTGGGTAGGTTCAAACCCACACCTTGCCTTTAAGTTCGGTTCATGAACCTGGTTTGCGGTTCGTTTTGATTCGTCTCTTTTCCTAAAATTTTCCATTAACTAATGCATATGGTTTTGAGTTCAAATCAAATTATAATAATTAGTTAATATTTCATTTTTACGGCACTGAAGATATCTTTTGAACGACACTTTATCCCTTCTTCAATGTGATTCAGTTTAAGTTTAGACTTAAGTTTTGGTAATGGGATTTGGTTCTGCTCCTCTTTATCCAAATTTATCTTGTTTAATATTTGTTCAAATGATAGATAAAAAGTTGGAATTGAAATCGCCTTGATTCTAAACCCTTGATTCTTAAATCAGGTATATTTTATTTTCTATATTATATTATTTATATATATTTTACATTTTTCCTTTTTTATTTTCTGAAGTCTAATTTATAATCTATTATATTCTAATTCATATATCCAATATCTAATTCTTTCATCATGAAGTACAATAATAATTTACATTTTGCTGATTTAAACATCTGTCTGACAAGGGCAAGTTTTGTAGGGTTTTTCTCCAGCTGGTATAAAAACTGCTGCATAAACAAATTTAACTAAACGAAGAGGCGTATGAAAATGAAGTAAAAATCTTCACAACCAACAATAACGTGCTTAATATCAGAATATTTAAAAGACCACTGACATTTTGACTTTACGTAGAATCAATAGTTGCCTAGATGCATGGTTGGATAATAGAAATGAGCAGAAAGAGTTGCGCTCATTAGTGACACGCGATACTCGAATAAAACGGAAATGGCAAATCAAATACTCAAAGCGAAAAAAGGGCGCTGAGCCAAAGAAGCGCAAATCAGTTACAACTATGGACAGTTATCTCAGCGGGTCATCTCTTCACGAAAGGACAATTATGAGTGGACATGCTAATTTGTGCGTGGAACGGCGAGGACAGCCGGGCCAAAGGGACAGGCACGCGCCAAAGCAGAATACCTCAATATTTGTGGATGGAACGTGATTTGGCGCATTTGCCATGGCAAGAACCGCGCCCAGCAAGCGTCAAGACAGCGCCGCGCCCAGGACAGAACAGCACGGTGAATCCTTTCCCTACACACACACACACACACACACGCACTTGATTAGCCAGCGCTGCTTTGCCTAAAAGTATGCAAAATGTTTTGTTCACGCTGCACAAACAGGCGCTTCAGCTGTGCTCAACTGAACATGGAGGACACGAAGCGTAACCGCTGAGCACGCAAAGGGTTAATTAATTAAATGCGCTTTGTGCTGCGTTGATATATACAAAGATATACAGGTAAATATGCTGCCAACAACCAGACACAGGTAAATCTATATACAACTATGTATATATATGTATCTAGATACGGCCACAATCTGCTGCTGCAGACGGCGACTGACTCCGCCCAGCTTGTGGCCACACCCACATTGCATTCGCCCCGTGCCCCAAACCCTGTGGTTGCCAGCGTCTTTGATGTAAACTTCGTAAAGTCTCAAGAAAATGCCTCGAGCTGTCGTTTTGTAATTTCCAGCCACAATTTTCCGACTTTTGCCCCCACAAAAAATAAGTTGAAAAGCGTTCAGTTTAACGCTTCAATTGCCTTTAACTCGAATAACCGGCAACTCCGTCCTACGCGTAGCCGCACTTGTATCTATTTATAAGGGAATACTCGAAAACTTCGCCCTGGGTGTGTCTGTGTCGTCGCCCAATACGTTTCTCCTATACCCTGTACTCAGAAAATGGTTGAAAAGGACTATCGGTAGTTGTGAAGATGCATCTCTAACTGGCAAAAGTTAACATTCGTGCTAATATTCGACTTGATTAAAGTGAGAGAACATTATTTAAAGTTTCGTCTGTCTGTTAAAGTTAGAAAGCACAGTTATATTCCAGATAAATGTTGTTAAATATAACTTATTTAAGATCCGACTTTATTTAAGCGAATTAAAGGTTTCTTAAGGTTGTTAAAGCTAGAAACCACAGTTATATATTTCTTTAGATATATAGCAGATTTACGATAGATTTGTGTAGAGTTTTTCTCAGTTTTTGATGGAGAGTTCGGTTCTTATATACTGTTCCGATTTGACCTCTGGATTACTGGAATCAATTGGCATATACAAATAAAATTTAAATACAAATTTAAAAGAAACTTGATAAAATTGGAATTCATAAACTCGTATAGGTAACTACTAATTGATACTTGGGGTTACCTCAATGTCTTTGTGAAAATGGAATCGATTCTGAAATCAAAAATTTAAGATATTGGCAAATCTAATATATATTCCCGCTCAGCTAAAGATTTTTAGATGCTATATCTTGTTGGACTTGTGCTTAATTAACTTGGAAGTGGACTCCTTTTTGGAATAGATAGAACGGATACTGTTAGTCCTGCTTGCAGGATATCTGTGCGACTAACCCAACCAGCTGGAGACTTGACGTCAATTCCAGGCACTTGGCTGTTAATTAGAAGCTCATTTTCAATTAATCAAAACGCCAAAAGAAGCGCCAACAACATGCCTTACAACAGTTAACGACATCGCGTGTGCTGCCCTCCAAAATTGTTGCAGAAGATGGGCAGGGGCACGCCCCTGTCGCCCCCTTAGTCGAGCAATGTCAACGCCAATTGATTGCCACAGGACATTAATAATTCAGAAGGATCGTTGAGCGGTTGATTTGAATTGGAGTCGAATGTGGCGCATCTCATTTTATTCGTGTTAGCCGCTCACTGAATAATTCGAGACCCGCTGCGAAAATTGCTCGGGGACCGGCAAGCGGAGCATCATCAACAGCCTATCCACTTGGCATTAACGGCGCTTAGCTGCGGCAGCTGCCACAGGTAGCGCACACCTATAAACATTAACTTGTCAATAAAGGTAATTCATTATGTCGCTCTCGAATGCCTCCGGGGAACGGCTCCGTGGCTAAAGCGAATTGTCTGGCCGTTAAGCCAGAAGCCGCAGTACCGCAGCTAACAGCCTTTGCTCTGCATCCTGTATCCTTACTTGTTTATGTATATGTATCTGTATCTTTTTAGCTGCTGCGCATTTGACATTCCACACTCAACTTTTCGGCTGCCGGCTGCTCCATCGATGAACAATAAAATATTCCTCTGATGGGCGATAAAAAGCTTATTGCTTATCGTTGGCTCTGCTGACAAAAACGCGACGATTTCGTGGAATTTAAGGGATATTCCATTTTGCAGTAGGTGGAACAATTGAAACCCGCTTGTAAGTTTCACTTTTTGAAAAATCAATTTCAATCTCAATTGGGAATTTAATATGATTATTGTTATTATTATTATTTTTATACCGTCAACCCATTAAAAATGGGTAAAAGGGGTATATTTGCGCAAATGTATGTAACAGGCAGAAGGAAACATATATCTCCCCTTAAAGTATATATATTCTTGTTCACCATCAATAGCCAAGTCGATCTAGCCATGGCCGTCTGTCAGTCTGTCTGTCCGTCCGTCTGCCTGTCCGTATGTATGCAGGCAAGGATCCCAGAGCCCATAAGAGCTAGATACTTGAAATTTTGAATGTAGGTCCTGCTACTGCCCGCGCAGTACGAGTTTGTTTCCGATAATCAATAAGTTGAGTCGTTTCCAAGTAATCGATCAAAGTATAAATCGATATCGAAATCCTGTTTGTAATATCTCGGGTGACTAAGGTCTGATTTTGGAATGTTATACCTCATTGTATTCGGACGGATCCCCACTAACATGGCAATCAATTGAATCTAATATCGGGGGCTTACATCAAATTATTTGACAAAAAACCAACTCTTATATGATTTCAAGCTTTTTGATGATGATTTCGGAATATATCGGCCAATTAATATCCGATATTTGAATTTTTACCATTTTCGACTCGTAAGGGTCAGTGCTATCGAATGGCATCAAAAAAATGAAAATCTAAATTTTGACCCAAAGAGACCAAAAAAGCAAGGGGTTACATCAAGTTTTTTTTAAAAATTTGGGGTCGGTTCGAAAATCTAAACTTTTTTGATGATTTTTTTTAAATATCTCGGGTAAATATTGTCTGATTTTGATCGTACGATTTCCTACTCAATCAATTGGCAGTCAAACAAATCGCTGGGCTAATAGCTTGTAAAATCAAAAATTAAAAACTTTTGCCCAAATAATCCCTAACTTCTTTCAAACTCTTTTACTCAATTTTGGTATGCTAGGCAAGCACCTAAAACGAAATGCTAAATGAATAGCAATCCTTTTAGAAATACGATGCCCCTGATATCAATTGCAAATGGCAACGAGTACACAGACAAATATCTACTTACAGAGTATCTTGTATCTGTATCTATAACATGCTTGTCTGTGTGTGTGGACGTGGGCGGCGGTGGCCAATGCGGTGACCAGAGACACGGACATGGACTCGACAGAGCTCCTGCTGTTGCTGCTGCCGGCTGCTACTCGCGTGACACGTCAGATCAATTTTTCGAAATATATTTTCTATGAAATTTATTTGCCTGTCATTAGAGTTTGGCAAAACGTGCTTTGGTCGCATTTGAAAGTGCCCCGCTGGGGGCAATGGCTAAAACAGCAGCCGCAGCCAAAAGCCAACCGGAGTCCGAGTCGGAGCCAATAGGTTTCGGATATGGTCGCAACGCTGTGACAAACCATACGAGAGCGCAAAAGCTGCAACAAACTGTTCGGTTTGGGAGGGGGCGAAAACCAATTTTTCTTTTTGCGTATCTGACGGATACGTGTAGAGCGCGCGCACGTGTGTTTTATGAAAATTGCGTTTCAATTGACAAAAAAGTCGCGAGCCATAAGTTTGAAGCGAAACAGAAAACATAAAATATGGCAATTTATGGCGAAAACTCTTTCCAGCTTTATGTGTGCGCGCCTCAATCTACCCATCATGAATATTACGCTGATGAAATTGTTTTCATTTCGACTCAATTTTCGTGGTTGGCCCAACGCGTGTCGACGGGTGGTCCCCGATTGCGCGTCTCCCGTATCCGGTTGTTGCTCCGGCCCGGCCCGGCCAGGCCAGGCAGTCAGGATATTTATTATTTTATTAGCGGCGTGTGTTCACCCATTCCCCGAATTATCTACGCTGGGTGTGGCGCAATTTTTACGGCCACTCTCTCGCTCTCGCTTAACCCTTTCCGGCTGTCTATTTTGGCCAAAAAGCGACCTGGCCAGGCTGTTATGATAATTAAGTAATGGCTCCGTACACACTCACAGACACATGTCCACTTCCTACACCAGCTCGCTGTGCCGGCCGCTTGTCCTTAAGTGCTGCCCACTCGAGCGTCACTCTTCATGCGAACGGGATTCACATTCATGGACATGGAACTGGGCCTGCCTACGGCTTGCAAAGTCCTTCCTAAGGTCCTTCCGCCTGTCTGTCTGCCTGTTTGCTTGCCTGTCTGTCTGTTGGTTTGTTTGTTTGTTTGCTTCTCGTGTTGGTTTTCGAATTGAGTTAGCACTGTTTTTGTTGTTGTTATTGGCATGAATAATTACTGGAAAAATCGTAACTCTGTTGCACATGCATAATACATGTCGTCGGTCAACACATGCCCACATCCAATAAAATAGTTCAAGGCATAAAAATAGTATATTATGTAAGTGTTCCTTAAGCAGTTCTGTTAAACGATATTTTCATAGATCCTGGTCAAGCAATAATCAATCCTTAAGATACTGCTACTAAAAGTATATTCAATCTGAACTGTATAAGTGGCCCAGCAAGAACAACGAATATGCGTGATCGAATCCCCGGAAGGACACAGAAGACAGTACTATTGGTATATTACCTATATACCATGCTATAATATTAATATGATAATTATTACACAAGGAAGCAGAGTTTTTGTATAGCTACTTAAATATTCTCCCGGCCTTGTCAACACGAACCTTAGATTTCAAACACATTTTCGAATCTTTAAGTTGTTGGAATTTGCAAGCGTCACGCAACAAATTCAGGCCTTTTTAAACTAAGCAGCTTTATCATGAGGCTACATTTTTGACAAGAAGATACGATGTTGCCTTGCTTTAAGTATTGAACAGTATGATTAAAGTATTGGCAATTTTTAGACAGTTGTTGTGCTCTGACAATCGGAAAGAAGCAAGTAAATTACTTAAATAGAAATCAAATGTATTTTCTAGTCAAAACAGACGCATCTGTTATTTACGGCAATTGAAATTCAAAGCTAACCAAAGATAATATGCTTAAAAGTTTCCATTTGGGTGCAATAAACTAGAGAATTGTGTTTCAGTTTTTATCTCGAATAGTATATTAGCATTTCCTGTCCTATGATATCGTTCATTGTGCGAGTAGTTGAATGGGTTGCCTACCAAACGATTTGTTAAAAGATTTCATTTATGGTTTTATGCTCACATGCCACTTAACAACTACCAACAATCGCAGATAAAGAGCGAAGAACCAAAACAGGCCCGATAAAACGGGCCCCAAAAATCAATTGGAATCAGCTCGTCAGGTGACAATTTTAGTCATGGACTCTGAACTGTTTCGATTGGAGGCAATTCGTTGAGGTTAGCTGAATGGTCGCCTGTTATCTGCATAGCTTAACAGTTATCGTAAGCTAGCTCGGGTTTTATCATCATATCTGAACGTGAAGCGTTTACTTTCGTTTTGTTTTGTTTTTTATTTTTTGTGGGGGGCAAAAGTTCAGTGCGCGGCACGGAGCCCACAAAAGGCCTTCCTAATTGCGCACTAAATTAGCTGCAAGAAAAAAAAAAACACAACAAAAAATAAAAATTATAATATGAAACCAGCCCAATGAATGAAACGAAACATGAAATGTGCCGCCAATCAAAAAGGCGCACATTAAAATTACCCACAAAATTGCCGAAAAAGAAATGAATTGAACAAATGAATAAATAAATGGGCTCTGCTCAACTGGTTGAC